TACTTAAATATTATATATATATATATATATATATATATTAATTATATTTATTGAAGTCATCATGTATATAGAAAAATATAAATAAATGTTTAAAATATATAAATATGTATATTTAATAAATATATTTTTATTTAAAAAAAGATACAGCGAAATGCTGACCTTACTAAAAACGTGTGCTAGTTTTGTATTAATGGAACAAACAATTAGCTTCGAAAATATATGATGACATAGTGTTAGATGGGAAAGAAATTCTACTCATGATTTTGACAGCATGAAAGAAAAAGAAAAAGATGAAAAAGAATTAGAATTTCTTCAATTTTGGGTATCCTAGATGTTCTTTATCTATATACCCTCTCTAATTACAAAATTCATAATTCAGATTTTGAGCAAACGGGAGAACATCACTCGACGAGAGCTACAACTACGTCTTCATTTCTTTGCTTGCCAAGTTCTTTGAGGTAAATAGTCCATCACCGCTGTTACACAATCAAGAATCTGATATGATTGTAATTATTGTCAAATATTGTAATTAGCTTAAATTGGGATACCTACTTAATATAGGAGAGATACTTGCCTAATTTCTAGAGATTTAGCTTATTTCTCTCCTAATGTTATGTAACGGTCAGTGTATTCACTTGTATATATTTTGCCTCTCAATCAATGAAATATAAGCTCTCGAGGTATACTTTTATGGTATCAGAAGCATCTCTATAATCAACTCTGATTTTTTTTACCTCTGCAGCATGTCTACCTCCAGCAACCTTAATTTGGAGAGCCCTTATTCCCTTCTCCTTCAAGATGAGGCTCAAAAGGCCCATACACATCCCCCACTGACTTCAGAACGTGCAGCCCTCCAAACTCAACCTGCACACGCTTTTTTGGCCAAACAACCACCTTCTCGCAGTCGTCCCAAATGTGCGCATTGTGGCATCCTTGGTCATACGGAGCATAAGTGCTATAAGCTTCACGGATATCGGCCAGGGCATCGCTACTACCATAAGGGGAACACTCATGGACAGTCATCTACTTCATCCACTCGTGCTGACCAACGTAATGATGCTGTGAAAGATCCTTTATCTGCAGATTCGTTACAGCAACTTCTTCGCCTATTAAGGGAGGTAAACCAACCTAAGGCCAATCTCACAGGTGCGTCTCTAGCTCTTTATTCTTCCCTCTGTATGCCTACTGAATGGGTTATTGATACTGGCGCAACAGATCACGTTTCTTTCACCCCTTCCTCTTTTCAACAACCACCTATTCCTTCTTCTCTTCATAAATCTATTTGTGTTGCTAATGGTCATTCGGTTCCTATACATGGCTTTGGAAATGTACACATAACATCAGATATCATCTTGACTGATGTCTTATTTGTACCCTCATTCAAATTCAACCTTTTATCTGTGCCAAAACTCACCCAGACTACTAATTGTTCTGTTTCCTTTTATCCTGATCATTGTGTATTTCAGGACCATTTGACGAAGAAGGAGATTGGTCGGGGCCATAAAAAGGGTGGACTCTACTTCCTTGATGTCTCTACCTTTGTTGCCGCCATCATCACTACCTCATCCACCACTTGGCATGCTAGGTTTGGTCATCCATCATCAAGTGCCCTCAAGTGTTTAGCTCCTATTCTTGGTTTCAATAAAGACTCTTGTGACCATTGTGAAGTCTGTCATTTGTCAAAACAAACAAGACTCCCTTTTCCTTTACACACACCCACTAGCAGTGGTTTGTTTGAATTAATTCATGTTGATATTTGGGGAAAGTATGCCACACCTACAAAAAATGGTCATCATTATTTTTTAACTATTGTTGATGATTTTTCCCGTGTCACATGGACCTATCTCATGAAATACAAGTCGGATGCCTATTCTTTGTTAGTTCATTTCTTAGCTTATGTTCGAAATCAATTTCAGACATGTGTAAAAACAATCCGCTCCGATAATGGCACTGAATTTACAAATAATTCATTTCAGAAAATTCTTTGTGACTCTGGGATTCTCCAACAATTCTCTTGCCCAGGTACCCCACAACAAAATGGTGTCGTCGAGCGTAAGCACCGACATCTTCTCAATGTTGCACGGGCTTTACGTTTCCAAGCCGATCTTCCACTAATTTTTTGGGGTGATTGCATTCTTACTGCCACTTATTTAATAAATCGAACACCATCCAAAATTTTAGCCGGTCAAACTCCTTATGAAAAACTCTATGGCCATCCACCTGATTTCACTCACTTGCGTACATTTGGTTGTTTGTGTTATGCATCCACTTCACATGATCATCCAAATAAATTCGCACCTAGAGCTAGACGTTGCATCTTTGTGGGGTACCCTGCTGGTCAAAAAGCCTTTAAACTATATGACATTGATCATCATAAATTTCTAGTTAGTCGAGATGTTATCTTTCATGAAACAATATTTCCATTCAAGAATAGTAAGGCTTTGCATGATTTACACATGGAACGACACCCTCTTCCTCTACCCATTTGTGATCAAGAACCCCTAAATTCAACCAACCCCACACCTCCTAGAAACACTTCTCCACTCCCTCCTCCTGCAGAACCCAATGATAATGAACCCACACATACTGTTGAACCCTTGAATCCCTCCCTGCAGGTGACCACCCTTGAACCCACACATGCGGTTGACACTCCTACAGTGACTACCCTTGCACCAAGACACTCCGAACGTCTCAAAAAGCCTCCAGCGCACCTTGCTGATTACGTGTGCAATATGGCCTCCACTCAATCTTCTTCCTCGTCTCCGGGTATGCAATATCCTATCTCACACTCTCTTTGCTCAAATCCTTACTCAAATAACCATCTCCATTTCATTAATTCTATTATCAAGCACATTGAACCCACCTCATATACTGTTGCCCGTAAAGATCCCCATTGGAGACAGGCTATGGAGGACGAACTAAAGGCATTAGAGGCTAACAATACCTGGACTTTAGAGTTTTTGCCTCCCGACAAAACAAGCTATAGGTCGCAAATGGGTGTATCGTATCAAATATAAATCGATGGCTCCATTGACCGAGTATAAAGCGCGTTTGGTTGCTAAAGGTTACTCACAACAAGAAGGATTTGATTTCATCGACGTTTTTGCTCCTGTTACTAAATTAACTACTGTGAGGATCTGTTCTTAGTCTTGCAGCAGCAAAAAATTGGCCAACTCATCAAATGGATGTTTCGAACGCCTTTTTACATGGCAATTTACATGAAGAAGTTTACATGCAACTTCCTCCTGGGTTTCGTAAACAGGGGGAGAGTCGCGTTTGTCGACTCCACAAGTCACTTTATGGCTTAAAACAGGCACCTCGCACTTGGTTCACTACCTTTTCGAGTGCTTTGCTTGAGGCTGGCTTTACTCAGTCAAGGGCCGATTACTCCATGTTCTTATTTACCCGTGCATCCCATATAACAATTTTACTTGTTTATGTTGATGATATTGTCATTACAGGTGATGATGCGTTGGTTATTTCACTCTTAAAGAAATACCTTTGCAGCCGGTTCAACATAAAAGATTTGGGCTCATTGAAATATTTTTTGGGAATTGAAGTGGCACGTTCCAAAGCTGGAATTTTTCTTAATCAGCGGAAATATGCATTAGAAATTTTGCACGACACAGGTCTTCTTGCTAGTAAACCAATCACAACTCCACTGGATTACAATCACACTTTGGTTGCTGATCATGGTGAAGTCCTATCTGACCCTGCTCCATATCGGCGATTGGTTGGTAGATTGCTATACCTTACAGTCACCCGACCGGATATCACTTATGCAGTTAACTTACTGTCACAGTTTATGTCTTCTCCTCGTGACACACACTGGCAGGCAGCACTTAGAGTGGTGAGATATATCAAATCTGTCCTGGACCATGGTATCCTACTCTCATCTAATTCTTCTTTACGCTTGCACGCCTATTGTGATGCGGATTGGGCTTCTTGCCCCACTTCTAGAAGATCAACCACTGGTTATTGTATATTTTTGGGTCCAAGTCTCCTCTGCTGGCGCACCAAAAAGCAGTCAACAGTTTCTCGCTCCTCTGCCGAAGCAGATTATCGAGCCATGACACATACGGTTAGTGAGCTCACATGGTTGCACACCCTTCTTCATGAATTGGGTATTCCACCACATCCTGCCACTTTATCTTGTGATAATCAAGCTTCCCTCCATATAGCAAACAATCCAGTCTTTCATGAAAGAACAAAACATGTTGAAATTGATTGTCATTTTGTTCGAGATAAAATTCAAGAAGGAAAACTTCGAACCACATTTGTCTCCTCAAATCAGCAATTAGCAGATATCTTCACAAAGGCTCTTCTTTCGGCTTCACATACTCAGTTAATTTCCAAGCTCATGTACCTTCCTAGTTCTTGAGCTTGAGGGGAAGTGTTACACAATCAAGAATCTGATATGATTGTAATTATTGTCAAATATTGTAATTAGCTTAAATTGGGATACCTACTTAATATAGGAGAGATACTTGCCTAATTTCTAGAGATTTAGCTTATTTCTCTCCTAATGTTATGTAACGGTCAGTGTATTCACTTGTATATATTTTGCCTCTCAATCAATGAAATATAAGCTCTCGAGGTATACTTTCAACCACCACCTTCCTTTGTTGAGTAATCAACAATCACATTGAACACACCCTCTTCTATTTCTTCATTTTTAATACAAAGGGTAAATGAAACATGTCATGTTCATCTATCACATAAACAAAAGCCTAACCAATTTGTAGTATAATTAGTGTGAGTGTGTGTAGGCTGCACCATTTAGGTACAAATCGTAATTAAGGCAAAGTTGAGGTGGTTAAGTCAGTACAATTTCTCTTTTTCTATTATGACATTTAGACATGTACAATGTATAAATTGTCTATTCCAATCACCCTCCTCTTTATCTTCATTTCCACTTCCCTTGAAGACTTATTTCACCTTCCACATGGGAGAAACTCAAGAAGTGCAACACCCCCCCTGAAACCTGTTTCACCATCCACATGGAAGATCCTCAAGAAGTGCATCTTAGCAAAAATGGTACGTCAACTTTCCATCTTCCATATTTAAATCAAAAGTTCATCTCTGTTAGAAGCCACAAAATCAACAACATAAAGTTAGCTTATATGTCTTTTCATACAGTTGCACCATATTTTGCTATCATATTCATTAGACCTATTTATGTTTAACTGAAATTATAGGCAAAGAAACCTTTCCATTTCTGTGTATCTATCTAACTTACATATGTTCAAGTGTTTTGCTTTTTATGTATATAATGAAAAACCTTAATCAGTTATAATTTCGATGGTTCCACTAGAATGTAAATTGCTGAATTAGACAGAACAATGGTGCTAGCAGAGTCCACACAGCACAACTAGAAATAAACATAATCATTCAAGGTGATAATCTTGGTATTTTTGGTGGTTTTAACAGTGAATATATGGGTGGACTTTCTAAGTTTTTTACTAATAACTATCCATTATTTACAGAATTTGATGTTGTTATGATTGTATTGAGTTTGTTTATAACAGATGTTAGAATAGACATGGATTGAAATTAATTCTATTATGATTGTGAAGACTTTGATTAAAGAGGAGGTTCCTTGAAAAATCAGAAATAAATGATACAAGGTCATGAATTCATGTAAAAAGGATAAATGTTTATGTTACTCATATTTTTAGAGAAGGAAACCAATATACTGATAAACTAACTAATCTTGTGATTGGAAACAAACAGAATTTTCATTAGTATTCTACTTTGCCTAGTTATATTTATCTTGAATTTTTTAGAAATAAATATTCCGTTATTGACTATGTAGGTTTTCTCGAAACCATGATCATTGATTTGGTTCCTTTCTTTTCTTAAAAAAAGAGGTGACACTACCTATACTAATGGTATGATTGACCGCATTGTTTTGGTGGAGATATAGTTTCTGAGCTGTACCAATATAATACTTCTTCCTCCGAATAAACAAAATTAAAGAATAACATCATCTACTGTTCGCTGAGGCTTTTAGAATTCATTATACTTAAAATATTAGGATCCTTTAGGTTTTTATTTTTTATTTTCTATGTTTATATCGAAGAAATTAAACAAACTTTTTTCCCAATCTTTAGAGAGAGGAAGAAAATATGTTAATTTTATAATTATTCATCCACACAGAAAAAGAAAACTAGACATATTTGTAATAAATAATAATGGATACTCTCAGCTTCTGGATAAAGATGCAAGAATTTTAATATAATCAATCAAGACAGAATTCTTGTGACATGTCAACTGCTTAAGCATCAAACACAAACACGCTGAAACCTCTCTGTAAACAACCAACAATAACAATATAATGATAATAGTAGAAGAACAAGAAAAGAAGTTCACATATCAAAGGAACTCTGCTTTTGAGGAATTGAGTTCCTTTGAAACAAATCAGAATATACACAACAGCTCTGTGCAGTTTATTATACATATTATCTTAGTTGATATAGTGATAATTTGGTATGTTGTTGTTAAAGAAACTGCAGTAAAAGAATCAAATTTCCTGGAGGGAAATGGTTTTCGTGCTCCAAAGAATGAGTCAACAATGAGAAGGAAAAAAGTGTATTACCGTTGGTTCAGAATAGCCATCCATATTGCACTTGTGTTGGTTTGTGGATCAGCTGCACTACTCCTTGGAAGGTTGTACTATGAAAAAGGTGGGAAGAGTAAGTGGATGGGAACAGCCCAAGCGATTCCCACTTGGATTGTGACTTGGCCCATCTAGCCTGCGCCACGGGACAATTGTGCAATCCTTGACTCTGATACCAATTATTAGAATCGAGCGCTTACCACTAGGCCAAAAGCTATAGCTTTTAGTAAGAGCACAACTCTTACTTAAGAGTAACAGCCCAAGCGCCACGATTCGATTGTGACTCGGCCCACCCAGCCTCCGCCACAGGACAATTAATGCTACCTGCAACAATTACTTCATATCTGCATAAAAAACCGCACCACAAACAATACATTCATTCAGATCAGCCATCTGCTTCTATGCTAGCATTTGTCTACGTCTCAATTGGCCTACTTCTGGCATTAGGTTGTTATTTATATTCAGTGGTACCTTCCTGTCTCTACCTATTCACTCATTTGCTCATCCCAGTTGGCTTTTAATGCTTTCTTCTCGTACTTCCTCAATTCACACAAGTTCACACCTTACATAATCAACTCTCTAGCCCTCCTTACCATTTCTTCTACCCTCCTTGTGTTTCAAAACGAGTCATCAGATGATTCAGACTCCACACAAATCTCTAAAAAGAAGTATGTGGTTGGATTTATGTGCACTGTTGCTGCATCTGCAGGGTATGGACTGTGGCTTTCCCTCACACAGCTTGTGTTCAAGAAGGTTATAAAAAGGGAAACATTCAAAGTGATCATGGATATGATAATATACACGTTCCTTGTAGGTACTTGTGCTACTTTAGTGGGACTTTTTGCTAGTGGAGAGTGGAAAGGTCTGAAGAATGAAATGAAGGAGTATGAGATGGGGAAGGCTTCATATGTGCTGAACCTCACTTCCACAGCCATATTTTGGCAACTCTTTACAATTGGTTGTTTGGGCCTTATTAGTGAGGTTTCTTCCCTCTTCTGTAATGCCATAACCGTTTTGAGAGTGCCTCTCGTTCCAATGTTGGCAGTGATATTCTTTCATGACAAAATGCATGGTGTTAAGGTTATATCTATGGTGCTAGCTATTTGGGGCATTATATCATATCTGTATCAACAGTACCTCGATGATACCAAGTCTGAAAACAGAAACACCAGTAATGTTCCAAAGCCTTCTGCACCACTAGATGAGGTTAATAAATGAGTAAGGTTTTTAATACTTAGAAACACTATCCCTGTTTATATTATGATTTTAAAACTATTTTACACATGCATATGGCGAATTTTTAGGTTCATGGCTATGTAATCAGAACCAATTATCAATAAATTTATCATGCTTGATGATTTATAATTAGATGATGATAATATGCAATTGATTCGTTTCAATCTATTTATATTTATAATATAAAATTTATCTCAGACTGTAGAATAACCTTGTTTTAACATTGTATTTAATTCATGAAAATTATTTTTTATTTATATAATATATTTTAGCTATAAAATATTTTTTGATAAAGATGACATGTTAAGAGTGATTATGAACTGAAAACATTTCAACCAAGTTGATACCACAAGTCTCATTATCGTCGCTATGTGAGATAGAATTTTTCGTATCTCACACATAATCTGTCCTTTCTCCAAGTGCTACAATATTAACTAAATCAAATTTCTCAACCCTAGATATGGATGCAGCAGTTTGTGCACGTGTAAATTCAATTCTCAACTTATGTATATCATATTTTATCAACCACAATCCCTATTCTAAAAAATAAAACAAGAATGTCATTGACAAGGTTGCAAATTGTGTCTAAGAATAGACATTTATTACTTATCAAATATATATATATATATGATTGAATTTAATGAAAAAATAAATAAATAATTGGTTACTATAAATGATTCAGACCAAAAATTTTCAGTTTGGTGACCAAAGTTAGTAAAAAAATACAAAATTAATGACTATATTATTTAATTTTTATTTTATCGGTGTAATTAATATAAACAAAACATTTTCTTTCTTATCATTTTATTGATTTAAAAACATTTTAATAATATATTAAATATATGATACCCGAGACATTTTCAGTCATATCACACAAACATTTTATATGATACAACCTTAATAGAAAAAACAACTTCAAATACTTTTTACACCTTTCAATATAACTATTGGTTGCAATATCTAAGCAAATCATCATATTGTTCACATTCTTCATTAGTTATGATTTCTACAAACTCAATTTGTTCATCACACATGTTATGTTGTCTATTCATCCCAAATGCATCATTTATCATATCTATAATTGGATTTTCATTTTATAATGACATATTTACTACTTCATTGTCTCTTGATGCTATTGTTTCATATGTTTCCCCATGTCAGATCTATACTTTATAATTAATTGGAAATTGCTTGCAAATAAAGTGGTTAAACAAAACTTCTCTACTTTCCCATTTGTCATAGTGACATTTAGGACATGAATAAATTGTTCCACCATTGACAAATTGATTCTCAAATGCAAAATCTTAAAATCTATTCAATCCATTCAAATAATCAATTGTATTACGTGATATATCACTCCATGATTTATCTATTTTTATATTTGTCTAATGAAGTAAAAAAAAAAGTTACAAAAATATTTTATATATCTTTGATGTACATAAACTAAGATATAGAAGAGACATTAATATCTTTTCTGTTTTATATATAATAAATTCATATTTTATACTAATGAACCACATTTATAAAAACTGAATAATAGAAACAAATATATGGTTTTCAAAGAAAAACATTACCTTTTGGTGAATATATGACTGAAACTCTATCCTTATAAAAAAAATATATAACAAGAGAATTCATCTTTCTATCATCCAAAAAAATTGCATTATTATAATTGACAAGAACTAAAAATAAATATCACATAATAATTTCATTCAGGAAATTGAATTGAATTTCTATTCTTTTAACACCCCTGTGTGCATGGATCATTAAACAAATTAATGTTATTGAATTGGCCTAACTCTCAACCACTGAACATGTTAGGATCACTAAGCGCACTGTTATTACTCATTCTCAGGACAACCCAGATGATAGCAGCCCAATAGAAAACCCAAGTCCTATGACTGACTCCTCTGCCCCACATGAGGAAAGATCTAGAAAGATGACTCACCAGCCTCAGCACCTTAGAGATTATGTGGTCTCACTCCCCACTACACGTAAAAAGGGGAAAACCATTAGCATCAAATGATTGGATTGTAATTGTTATTTTCTTTATTTCCTTTTTATGTAATTCTTTACTGTAAGGCAGTTGCCACTCTTATGCTTATATAGCACAGGTAAAGGGGAAACATTTATATATAAAAAAGGTACTCTCTCCTTGAAAATTCCCTTTCTATCTGTGCACCTTCTCTCCTTTTCTGTTATAGTATCTTTCATTGGTGCTTTCATTGTCCCTTACTCCCATGGCTGAATATCCCCCTGATGAGCTCACCAAGATCACCAACAGACTCGACCAGATCCTCCTTTCCCATGTCAACCTTTCTAACACCTTACATGACATCGCCAACCGCATTACGATTTTAGAATCCCAACCTCACGCACATCACTCATCCACCCACACCAGACCTATCAAGTTTGACCTTCCCACCTTTAATGGCTCTGACGCCTTGGGGTGGATATTAAAGATTAACCAGTTCTTTGATTTTCACAAGACACCAGAGGACCAAAAGATCCATATCTCTTCTTTCTACTTAGAGGGTCACGCCCTTGCATGGTTTCAATGGATCTCTTCCTTCGTACTCTCGAACTTCGGGTTGCTCCTTCCAAGTTCAATGACCCATTTGCGAATTTGCAAGCTCCAACAAACCCAAAGTCTTCAAGATTATCTCTCAAAGTTTGAGACCTTAGCCAACAAAATCTCTGATTTTCTACCCTCATTCTACCTCAGTTGCTTCATCTCATGGCTTAAACCTCACCTCCGCCACAAGGTCACCACCCTTCAGCCCCCTGACCTTCCAAAAGCAATCACTCTAGCCAAGCTTCATAATGATAAAACTCGTCCCTCTCCTCCACCATTCTACTATTTTGGACGTGACTCTTCCTTTTCCCCCATCCCATTCTCCACCGCTCCTCCTACCCTAACAAAACCTCCTCCAACGCTATTGCCCACTCCACCCATAAAACTCCCCATTAAGCGTTTGACTGAAGCCGAGATGCAAGCTAGACGAGAAAAGAACATTTGCTTTAATTGTGATGAGAGATATTCTCGAGGCCATAGATGTAAACCTCAGTTCCTTCTTCTCACAGTGGACACCGACGATCCCACTGAGTCCGACACCGCTTCGGACCTCCCTTCCACCAACGATCCTCCACTAGAGATAGGCCTCATCAGTCTCCACGCTTTTTCGGGGAAATGGACCCCACGTACCTTCAGAGTCATAGGCTCACTACGTGGGTATGCGGTGCAAATACTGGTTGATAGTGGGGCAACCCATAACTTCATTCAACATCAAGTGGCCCATTTTCTATATCTACCAACACAACCCACTCCAAGCCCACTTCGTGTGATGGTAGCAAATGGAGATTTCTTGCCCTGTGCCTCTTTTTGCCCCCAAGCAACTTTAACTTTGGGCCAACACGATTTTCCTATTGATTTGTACCCCTTAGAACTTTCTGGCACAGATGTGGTTTTAGGTGTACATTGGCTATCTATGATCAGCCCATTTGTGATGGATTACAACGGGCCCTTTATGTTGTTCAATTGGAGGGACACACTAGTGGAGCTCAAGGGCGAACCGGGCCCAAATCCCTCTCCAATATCTGCACATCAACTTCGCCGTCTTCAACATACCAATAGGGTGGAAGCCCTCTTCCAACCCACTTTATATCACAACCTTGTTCCACCTGCAACCATCACCGAGGTCGTTACTTCTTCCCTTCAGAACACATTTTTGTTATCAGAGGAACCACAGTTACAATCACTGATCTCCAAATATTTAGTGTTATTCTCAGCCCCTGCCACCCTCCCACCTTCACGGCACACAAACCACTCCATTACTCTTCTCCCAAACACTCCACCTATATTTGTTCGCCCTTACAGATACCCCCATTTCCAGAAGACAGAAATCGAAACCCAGGTTCAGAAGATGCTTGATTCGAGGTTCATTCAACCAAGTCACAGTCCCTTCTCCTCTCTGGTCCTCCTTATTAAGAAGAAAGATGGAACATGGAGGTTTTGTGTGGATTATCGAACACTTAATGCAACAACCGTCAAGGACAAGTTCCTCATTCCCACCGTGGACGAATTACTTAATGAGTTGGGTCATGCATCCTGGTTCTCCAAGCTATACCTCTTTTCAGGCTTTCATCAAATATTGATGCTTCCTTGCGATTCCGAAAAGACTACATTCCGCACACACAATGGCCACTTCGAGTTCAGAGCGATGCCATTTTGATGTGGACATAAAGGCCCAAGCCCATAACGAGAAGGATCAAGAACAAGATCCAATCCAAGACTTAGGTGGACCTATGATAAGAGGCAGGCTCAGAAAAACACAAGAGGCATTGAAATACAAAGTGACCAATTTGCTAAAGGCTCAACTATTAAAAGATCCAAACATGGAGAAGTCTAGACCTATCACATGCATAGAATGTTTGGAGAGCTAGGAGGCCCAACTAAAAGATTTAGTTTTTATTATTATTATTATTATTATTTTATTTGCTATAGTAGGAATTTGAACCCAAGACCCAAAACTTATAATGCCTTCAATGAACCATCTAAGCAACTTAACTTTGCTTGGGATATTAGGATTTTAATTTATCTTTATTTGCTGCAATGAGACAAACTCATAAACTTAAGTTGTAATAAACATTTGGAAATTCAGAATGAACATACGTAATATTCAGAATCATTTTGTGAGTTGTTGCTTTGCTAGGGTTCTTCCTTGCATCACTTAATCTTATCAAGAATTATTTGATTCTTGTGGTGATCCTTTTTGGCTTATCAAATATTCTTATTTGTGGCGCCTACGGTATCCTTTATTTTTTTCTGTTTTTTATTTTCAATCAAATTAACTCTTAAAACCTAACCCTAAATTGTTTCCATTCTATTCGAGTGTCGTCATTTGGTACTCAGAGCAAGGTTCAAAAGCGGTACTGTTCACCGGTACTGTTCATCGACATTGTTCACGGTACTGTTCATTTGT